TAACAACTATGTCTTAAAATAATTCCATCTCCACGGGCAAAGAAAATGATTTGTTTTGAGTCTGAACACAGCTCTGAAAGAACTCTAAATTTCCTCTCCATGTGCTGAGGACTCCTGCCTCCAGTCATGAGAACAAAGAAAGCGTGGTCACAAAGAGGTGGGCAGCTATTAAATTAGGTAGCAATTAGGACTGGTACAAGAACTCAGAAAGCCAGAAATACATCAAACACTAGCAGATTTACACACCACCCTTTCTTAGCTCCCTAAATATCTGCTACCACATGCTGCTGGGGCTCTGTCCCTGCCAGCTTCACTCTGCCCTGGAAATCACACTGTACTCTTGCTGAAACAGTCACTGACAGATTCCATTATAAGAGCATATATGCCACTTAATCAAACAGCTTCATCGCACTTTCTAATGTACTGTATTCACTTTGGGGAACACTATGTGAATACTGATTGGCAAAATTTGGACCATATTCTTATTCTTACTAATTGCAATTTATTTCAGAAATAGACCCACTGATTTTGCTTTCCCAGCACAGCAATTTTTCTGGTTCTCTCTTCAACACTTTCACACAGTTATGCCCAACTTCGCTGCTGATCTTCAGTATTCAAGGTAATTGCTGGGTAATAAACTTTTAAATGATCTATCTGCTGGGAGTGAGTGTCAGCTGACAGGTATTTTTTAACTCTGAAACACAAAGTCTTTGTTTCTGTACCAGGTACTTACCAAAATCACTCTTGCAATCTATTCATCCTTTAAACCCTGATTCCAATTTTTTCTAGTCATCTGTGTAAGCATCTCACAGAGACAACTTAGCACTGGCATCTGGCTCTTGCTGTGTCACTTTGCTGCTGCCATCTCTAAATGTCTCACTATACACTTTATTGCTGGCTATTAATTTTTAAGATAGCTTTATGTTCGTTATTAACACCTTATTTCTCAAAAGGTAAAAACGGTGCCGTTGCAGACACGGGTTCTGTAGAAACATAACATCTGAACATACGAGAACAAGGACAGAAGCTTGTTTCTGAAGGATTATATTTCCTTCTCAAATTTTGTACACAAACAAGTTTCTCCTTCTTTCCCCATTGTCTATGTTGTTTGGATAACACATATTTCCAATTTATAAAAAATAAACAAATCCCACCAACTAGAGCACTACCATTACTCCAGAGGGTGATGGAGGATATTGGTCTAAGTAATTGTCATGCTTTCAAACTTTCTTTTCACCTCTGAAAGGCAGAATAATGTAGGTCACTTTTAATGAGGAGCGTTGTGTGTGGCTTTCCCCCACCCAGTACACAGCAACCAGGCACTTACAAGTTCATGTTCTCCCTGCACCATCGCTGTATTTTATCGTTTTTCAACAGGGTTGACTTTTGCCCACAACGCTGGGGACTTTCACATGGTGAAGTCTCTTGGCTGCCTCATTAACTCTGAATCAGCGTGTGCCCTTGCATTTCACTATATAATTTCCTCCAGCATTCATTATGCTGCAGTTTAAACAGCCTCTGGCTAGAAACTTCTTGAAACATCATGATGAAATTACTTTCTTGACAATATACAAGTCAATTACAATGTAATTAAAAGATACACTAATCCATTCCCTTCTTTGGTAATGGTATGTTGGTTAAGATCATCCAGTGCATAATTGGATGGTATCTATGAAACTTTTTGCTATAAACTGTAAGCTACTGTCCAGAGCCCCTGTTTTCTCTCAAAGATGCGAGAATTGTGATACCTATTCTCTTCTAGCAATCACAAGGAATTAAAGGGGTACAAGCTGCTTTGAATCTAGGGTCTCCACTCCTCAGTGCTCTGACTCCCCAGGAATTTCAATGGGGTTTTTTGTCATTGGGGTGGGAGGATTTGGAAGAAACCTGGCACCTGGAAGGCATACGCTCTCACCTGCTGCCTCCATCACATCGGACTCCTGGTTTTCAGCACGAGCCTCCTGCATATTCCTCTGCAAGGGAACAGTTACATTCCCTTGTCTTCACTCTGCTGCCCATTTTTACCCTATTCCCTTTCTGTCCCATTTTCCTCTTTGTTGCAATGTCTATCTACACGACCTCCACACATACCAGCCAGGCCCTTCTGTCCTTCCCCATCACTTGGCAGATGCATAAAGACCTGAAGGCAGCAAAACGAAGCAAGTCCCCTGCCCCTTTGCCAGCCGTCCTCACAAAATGAGTTCCCAATATTCACACCTTTAAATATATGGACTCAGCGGTTCCCTTATTCCCTCACTTCAGCCCACTCCTAAATCCTCCAGCTCTCCTCTGCCCTGCAGCACTCCTCACGCTCCTGTGCCCTGGGGCTCTGGGGAAGAGGGACAAGGACCTGCCAGGAGGAAGGGGACAAGGCTACACCTGCTGGAAGAGAGGATGGGGCTGAAGGACAGGGGACTGTGGGGGGTGCAGACCTTCAGGGATGGCAGCAGCAGCCTAAGGAAGCCACTCCTGTGAGAAACACAGCCCATCAGGTTGGTGGTGCCTCGGGAGGAAATGAAGTACTCATCAGGTTCACATTACACAGCCAGCCCCAGGCTCTGCATGGCAGCAGCACTAATGGGTATCAGCGGCCCCATGCTTCTCCTCATACTTGCAGTTCAACACGCAGCCCACAGAGATACGTTGACTGCTAGAAGTAAATAAAGCTCATGACAACTGGGTAATAGTGTTTAAGTGAAGGGTCCTGTATTCTTGATCACTTTAAAATATTTTTATTGTTATGACATAGTATAACTTCTGTTGGTAAAAAAAATACCCAAAATGAATCCAACATCTTCCTACAAGCTGGATTTCAGTGAGATGCTGCTGCAAGCCAATGTGCATCATATGTGTTTGTCTAAACTAAAGTATTAGAACAGCCTCTCTGCAGTTCAGACAAGGATGGAGAGTTGTAAGAGATACACATCCTTTGTCACCACCTTCCTTCTAGGGCTGGCTCCCTTAATTTACTTGAGCTTCAGCTTTTTTATCTTTAAAAAAGAGATAACTTCTGCCTGCAGGGACGCTGTGACGCTAATCCATCTGGTCTTTGCCAACACATGCAAAACTTTATTCTAATGAGTGAGATATAGAGAAAACAGGACACCACCAACTGATACTGTCTATATTCTTCCTCACAGTCCTATCCAGTTTCATTTTTGGCTGGAAAACTAGGTCAAAACACTAAACAGCAGTTGTTTGAGGGAAAAAGGCAACTTTTAACTTATTTTGGTATAAATGCCCTTCTTTTTCCAAATCAGCATTCTTAAAAGGGACAGGCAGGGTAACGGGGGACTCTCCACAGGTGAGAGTGAAGGCTGCATTTCTTTTCAACCTGTTCCTTAATCAGCAAAGGTTCAATACAAGAGGAATAATTCATGTGGCCAGCAAGTGATTCTTGCTTGGGAAGCCCTGAGGGAGGATTTTAATCATGGAAAGCTCACCTTCTTCTAAGACATGCTAAAGTGGGCGCGTGGTTCCCTCTAAATGTCTTTTGGGTAGATTACAAAGCAAAGCTTGGATGTCCATCTTGTTCTCAGCACGCCCTTTGCAGTTCTGGCAGAGCCTCTGGCTGAGGGCACACGCTACCCCCGCAGCTTCCCCCTGCCACACACAGTAATTACTTTCTCTTCATTAATTGGTCTTAATGCATGCATGCACATCCACAAATCAAGCAACCCGCTGCTGCGAGTACAGCACTTCTGGCTTGGAAGTCATGCGGGCTGGGCTTTGCCCAATACCACCAGCACCAGCTTCACCCAAGCAGGAGCAGGAGCATCCATGGGGTGTAAGCAAATTTCTGGGGGGCATCAGCTCTGCCCAAGAAGTTGCCGGGGTTGTGTGTGCTGATGGCAAACCAAGGCAGCTGGGGCGGTCAGCTCGTGCTTCCAGAAATGAACACACCAGCACAAACAACGTGCTGATGGAGGCATATTAATGCTGTACCCATGTCAATGAAACATTACCATCAATTTCAGCAGGCAGTATGGCTGATTTATAAGCCAATATATAACAAAATATAGCACAGGAGATGTTTGGAAAAACAAGTATTCGATACACGCATGACAAATAGAAAATCTTTAGTAAGGGATGATTTCTGCAATCTCTCTCCCAGGACAGTGATATTTTAACATCTTCATCCAAACAGAACACACATAAACAGGCCGTAAACTTGTCTCATTACCCTGTGGTTTGTGCTTTGGCAGAAATGACAGATGATTTTTGTACATGAGCAAAATGTTTTAACTTACACCTTTGACTGTGGTCTGCTAGGACAAAGCAGTCACCTCACTAGTTACTTCAGACAGACTAATCAGAGGGCTAAAATGTGGTATGTAGTAAAAACTGCTGTCTGAGCAACCGATTCGATCCGACTGATCAGGATTCTTACAGGAAACACTTCAGTGAACTATCTGGTAATGAAAAATGAAGAAAGAAAAAACAGTGGTGGTGGGGAAATCTTCCTGCCTAATGTGTCACCTAAGCCTGATGAACTCCAGTGCAAAAGCTGAAGAAAATTCAGTACTACCCTGTAAACAGTTCAACCAGGCAAAAGTGAGTATGCATCTGGCATTTACATTAAAAGCTCCAGTCTGCACATATCAGTTTCCTCATTCCATTTAAAAAGAACATTTTTTTGTCATCAAAAATGGCCTCAGCCTTATCTACCTAATACAGTGATGGTTTTATACACTATGCTACAGACTCAGTTTGGACATTTAAAGCTCTTGGCTCATTAAGATCATGAAGTCAACCTAGTCAGAGATAAAACAAATGAAGTTTGGCAAAATCACTTTTAAGGTACCCTGTGTTTTTCCAGTATTCACTGCAAATGCCCATTGTGGATTATTGTCCTGAAACCAGGACAGTTATATTTAAAAAAATCAGTATTTATGAACTTAAGAGCTTAATGTAGCCCACCCATGTCCATCTTCAGTCAGGGCTGACAGTCACAATCCTCTCTGCACAGTAAACACATGGGGGTACCATCAGCCTCCTACCTTGGCTCCATCCACACTGATAATCCGATAGCTGTTTCTCGTGCTGTCATAGAAGTAGGAAACAGTTACAGCCTGCTTGCTTGCAGGAACCCAGTTCTTCTTCGTGCTGGGGTCAATTTGGAAGACATGGGCTCTGGTGGTGAAGATAGGCTGTTCTCTGGAATAGGGAGGGACAGGAGAAACGGATGCATGAGTCTGCGGAAGATGAAATGTCTCAGAAGCCCAGCCTTGACCAGACACGCTGAAAGCACAAGACAGAGAGAACCTGGCAATCCCCCAAGTTGAAAAGGCAGAGCACTGAGCCATGATCCAGCCATGGGCAGCTCTCCTTGGCATCGCTAAGTGACACTTAGTGCCCTAAAGTTACTGCTGTAGCCCAGGAGGCAGTTGTCTGTTTTCTCCCCATGTTATACTAACTTGGTACCCACCTTTTCCTCCAAGTATTTATTTCCAGGAAAGGACACTCACATGCATTCTTTCTTTCCCCATTCACATATTGTGCCAAAAGCAATAACAAGTCCCCCTTGGCTGGATTTCCTCCCGCCATGCATTCCTGTGAACCACTACCTACAGCCAGGGCTCCTCTGTGGTTGCACCAAGGACTCCAGCAATCTACAGGCACAGTATAATTACTGAAATATTAATCTCTATCCTTAGTATCCCACTGTTCCGTGGATGCACATGAAAATTTCATCAGAGGCAAAAGCAGTCAATCATCCTGGTGAGTGAGGGGGGAATGAAATACAAGCAAAACCCTGTGTTGATATATATTGCCTTTCAGTTCAACTCAGTGGATGATACACTGCCCCTGACACCCCGTTCCTGAACACCAATCCTCCTTGAATGCTTTTTCTCATCAAGAAAATTGTGCTTACAGCGGAGGGGTTTTGTTTTACCTTCAATGTGTGACAATGCAAATCACACATCACAGCAGAGAAGATGCAGGACCAAAAGAACAAAACATGATACACATAAAGTCTTCTGGGTTGAAGATCAGAATTAAGACTTACTTAAAGGCCATAAAACTAAATTCACTTCCAACTGTATCTTTAATCCAAATTTAGAAGTAGAAATGAACTGCAAATCAAGCTCTACTGTGCTTTTATGTACATTTTTATCCTTTTAGTTCTGAAAAGCTACAGTATATAATGGCCTACATTAAGTGTACCGCTCAATATATTCTTACCACATGCGAAATACTGTATCATGAATAGTTACTCCTGACAGAATTATAACAGGATTCAAACCCTACTGTACTACAATAGAGTTACCGCCCAAAAATGTTTACCACATGGAAACTGAAAAGGCTGCCAGGCTGAATTTTGCACAAAGCAAATGAAAGGAGGCAGGTGAAAGGCCAGAGAGACCTCATGCTCTCATATGCTATTCTTTCCTATTCATATGAATAATAATCTTCTATTATTCTCAGTCCCATAGTTTTGGAACTATGTTTTTATTAAGATTTCTTCAGCTCCCTGCGTATCCACCTGTGCTTCTGCAGAACAGAACAACTCCAGGTACCGCACGTGCAAACTGGATCAACCACCGGTGGGAGTAAATTTATGAATATCAAACAGATGAAGTGATTTAAGAGTACAATTAGCTCAGGAAAGGCGGAGTGAACTTGCAAAGCCCGGCAAGTCCTCAGGAGGGAGAAAATGAAGCAAGGGTTTCCTCCTCGCAAGACATATGCAAAGTTGTACTTTTTTCCAGGGGCTGCCACGCGATTTCTGGATGGACAGCAGTGCCGAACCCTGTACAATACTGCAATGAAATAAACTGAAACCGCAATGAGACTGTCACATTACAGCTGTGAAACAGCAGCAGTTGCTTCTGCTCTTCCTTACCAGTAACTCACTGGACCCGACTCTCGTTTCACATGCTAAAATCGATGCTGTCCTCAGCTGGGAGGAAAGAAGGAGCAGGTCTCCATAACGTTTAAGGAACATTTCCATCACCCATTACACAGGATTAGCAGTGTAACACCCACGAAGGTCACAGAGTTTGTTTGCAATAAGGAATGCAGGGAAGGGCACTTTCCCCCAAGCCACTTACTCTTCTACTCTAAAAATATGTACTTCCCTGAGTGAAGAAAAATCTCGAATTATTTTGCCTTTTACTTAACTCTGTATTTTTAGTAGATCCGATACTAATAGTTTCTGCTAATGGCAATACGACCTATATATCGCAGTCTAAACTTTCAGCAGATTCCTCCATACAAACCTATTCCACAAACAACTTTAACAATAACCAGAAAACACTGTTGAAACTACACCTGGCCTCTCTGCAGCAGGAGCTGTAAGCGTATAAAGTAAATCTGGACATAAGAATAGAATGAAGTGAAAAACTATCCCCAGTTTTTCAGGAGTTTTGTAGCAGTGACTGTTGCCAACAGGAGCCGTATACATGCATCCTAGTGGATAAATTAATGGATAATGAAGCTCAGGGCTTGAGATAGCCATCTATCTATTCATGTGGGCTTTTATTGAAAAGTAAAGGCAAAACCTAACTATGTTTCTAATTCTCATGATTATTAAACCAAAGAATGAGTGCATTTTGTCTTCCTGGGTGCAAACAGCAGCCCTATCACTCACTGAGATAGTGCGCTAGTTGATAAATGATTAAGAAAAAGGAAATGTGATGTGTAAACTTAGGCATTTTAACTCATTTAAGATAAATGAGCTGTTGACCTTCCATTAAGACTAAATTTGGAAGGGCCAGTTGGTTGCTCTCCATGTATGCCTTTGACCTTTCTGCTATATGTGGCTACAAAGCAGCAAAGCCCCAAGACTGATTTTTGAGCCCCTGGAGCAGAATCACCCCCAGGACACAACCTCCTGGAAGGATTTCAGAGTTTGGCTCGCGATAACTAAGAAAAGAAGCTCTGCAGCCGAATCCACTTGCAGGTCTGCACTCAGCTGTTACCCCAAAGAGCCCAAACCCATCAGCAAGGCCCATGAGTGGCACTTACCAGCACTGGGAGCCGGTGCCACCACGCTTTCCCTCACATCACAGAAGGACAGCAAAGCCAGCAGCACTGACCAACTCCAGCAGTGCAGCTTTTCACATGGGGGTAGTGGAATATCCTCCTTCATTGTACCCCAAACTACTTTCACCGGTGAAGCACACACAGAGGCAACTCTGTAACTGTGGCACTCAATTTTCAAATGAAACACTGAATTAGACACTTTAAAGCATTTAACACAACCTCATAGAACTCCAAATTGAGAAGGATTATTCTGCGTTATTCACTTGCAACTTCTGACATTCAAGAAATCACTTTACTGATAGAATATTAACTTTGTTTTCCAGGCTTTCTTTCCTTCCTTTTCATTTTATCATTTCATTTTATGCTTAAAAACACAGCAATGCTAACTTGAAATCCCCACAGCACATCCTGTGTGGTTTGAGCCCCTGTAAGCTGCTCGTTACGCGAGACTGCCAGTTTGCCTGGGGAGGCAGGGAGCGGTGGCTCTGCCAGCCAGGCTACAGACTCATAAATCACAAGACAAAGAGAATTTATGAATGTTTAAAATCTCATTAATTTTAACCAAAGTTGTTAATGATTGATTAAATACTCTTATTAAAAAAAAATGCATTTAAAAATCATTTTGACAGTTAACATCCACTGTTTGGAGTAAAGCTGCTTGAAAGGCAGCAAATGGAGACCTAAATTATAGCTAATAAATCTGCATTATTAAACAAAGAACAAGACAGAAAATGCACTTTTATAAGCTTTTTAAATTATTGACTATCTAGAGATAACCAACTGCATCCGCAGCTGTGTGAGATACAGTATCACTTTCTGGTTAATATACAACCATGCCAAATGTTACAAGCATATGACTAGCTGCAAGCCATGTGTTTTATATTACTCTTCCTAATCAGAGGGAATGAGCTCTCACTTAGGAAAAGTTCAAATTATTTAATTCAAAGTTCCTTGTTTACCATTTGAATCATGAGCACAACCAGTGATTTAAATCACTTCAGCTGTCAAGAGCCTTTGCTGACTGGCAGCCAGCATCGTACAGGCTGTGGGGTATCGGTGGCTGATGGAGTCGTGGCCAGCCAGCATTCAGGAGAGCCCCAGGCCCAGCCATGTGTGGGGCTGTGCAGAGCTGGCTCCAAACAAGGCACTGATGATGCGAACACCTGTATTGGAGCAATCTTTTCTGATAGTAAATACAACACAGGGACTCATTGGGTGCCTGTGGGATCAGCACCCAGGTACTTTTAAATGTGCAAAGTGTCCAGTGCGCATCTGGTAGATGCACTGACCAAGCTGTAAATAGAACAAAGCAGCTCCTTTACTTGCTATAGGATCTGGAACATCAAACGTATTTGTGACAGGAGCTCTGGTACCTCGCCAGAGGCAAAGCCACTATTTGTACATTTTGCTAAAACTTTCATTAACAGATCACATAAAATAATTGCTGGGATAAGGATTCCTAGTTTTCAGGACAGGATTATTTGTACTCTCCCCACACCAACACTAGACAGCTTTGCATTAACTGCCTAATTTACCAATTGGAATAAACATATCTTTTAAAAGAACACGTCCTCATACAGCTGCCATTTGGTGGAGGAGGCACTTGCCTGCAGAAAGTGCATCACTCTGAGTTTGGAATGCCGTGCTTCCTGCTACAGGCCAGCATCATGCACACGCTGAAGTTTATACTACCTGACAGTGTCAGCAGATCTGCAGTGATTTGCTGTAACAAGTATTAGATAATGACGCTCTTTCAAGAAAGCGAAAGGGTAAGCACAAACACAAAATCCCACATTGTGACACCCTCCCATCACTGGTCACAACACAAAACATTTTATTTGCTAAACACACCACGAAAACTTTGGTGTCAGTACTTATCTGGATTGATCATTGCTACTACTGCCTGACAATGCAATGAAAAGAACTAATCCTTTACGTATAGCTTCACATATAACATGTTTTAGAGTGCCATTTGTGTGCATTTATGATAATGAAAAAATAATCAATGTTGCTAACCGGAGAAGCGCTGTTCCCACCATGGCATTTCTACTGTCCCTGACAGCCACCCTCACCTCCAGTGTGAAAGCAGGACGGTAATGACACCATCTCCCAAAGCCACCAAGCATTACCTGTGCCTCTGACTTCTCAAAAACGCATGCACAGCTCCA